GCATTGAGATGGTTGTTTCTGTCTGATCAACAGTGCACACACTCTTGAGGTCGAAAGAGTGAGTCAAAACTCAGGATAATTAGTTTCGTATGCCAACGCTTAACCTATAGACAACGTAACCGGCAACAAAGCTGTTAATGTCTAACTTCAAATAATCCACGATATGCCGCGACCTCATGGATTGTTTTCGGTGGTTAACTGATTCACGCCTGACAATATATAACTCCACTGATCACAGCTACTCACTAGAACTCGAAGAAGTTGCTGAATATGCTCACAATTCTATTCACTGGTGATTATATGATAATTTTCACTAAAGGGTTGTGGAGATTGTTGATTTTTTATTGAGTTCAGATATTAACCCCGTTGGATGCCGGTCCATTTGTTCAATAATTAAGCGTTTGCTTTCAAAACCCAAGTTACTGAGTTTAATTTCTGCTTATGAAGTCGTGAATAAGCACTGCTGATGAGTCTCATAATGGAATGAAACAGCTTTCCAGTGCTTCTTAAAGGTTTGCTTCTAATGATAGTCTAACGGTAATCGATACATGATTACAATGAAACTCAACAATCTCCACAACCTCATAATTATAAAATTACTATTATTAAAAATTTACCTAATTAATTTCCTGTATGATCAATTTTCTTATTGATTTTTAAGAGAAATATTAATTGCCTACGATCTGTTGTCATTAAATTGTTCTTTAAAATCGACATAAATGAGACATATTTAATTTTATCGAATAATAACTAGTTAAATAAGGGAAAATATGAAGAATGAACTCAGAACATTCAAGTTTCAACAAGTGAATTAGAATTCAGTTGCATGTTTTTATAATTTCTGTCAGGTTTCGACATCGCGTAATTGTTATGCACTCTTATAAATAAATAATTTTAAAATCATGAATTAATCATTGTTAGATCACCATTAGAAACCTGGAAAAAGCAACGGAAGGCTGTTTCGTCCTTATATGAGACTCATCAATGTCATTGCACATCCACGACACTTGCTACTCATAGGATTCAAACCAGGGGCGCAAGCGCCTAACCTCTTGACCAATGATGTTAATGTCTAACTGATCAATTTAGGGATATTGCTCGACTTCATCCATTACATTAGGTAGTTACTGCCTACATCCGACAGGGTTGAACTCTACTGGTCACGTGTTCTCAAATAGAACTCTGAGAATTTCCTCATGAAGCCAGTCAATAGTGATCACATTGTACGATTTGTCTAATCATGATTGATTCATGTTTTCAATGTCTAACATCAATGATATTCATAACTCTAATTGAAAAATAAATAATAACCATGTTTTCAATTAGAGTTTTGGAGATTTGTGTTTTCACACATTTGAAATCATCAATCAGTAATTGTTAGAGCACACCATTAGAAACCTGTAAGAAGCACTGGATGGTCGTTTCGTCCTGGTATGGGACTCGTCAGTGGCAGTTCGCGTCCACGACTCCTGCACCTCGCAGGATTCGAACCCAGGACCTTCGGTATTGTGCACGAACGCCTAACCATCGGACAACTGGTCCGGCATCCAACGGTGTTAATGTATAACTCTGATTGATCTAGGGAACTTACCCAATGGCCTACACCTGACTGGGTTGAACTCCATTGGTCACGTCACGAGAATTTCCTCACGAAACTAGTCACTAGTGAGCACTGTTACGATATTTTCAGGCAGAGTTTTTGGAGATTTGTGTTTTTACACATTTGAAATAATCGAAACTGATTATTTCAAATAACAAGATTATTAATCATCTTACTTTTGACATGAATAAACTTCAAATATTATTAGCTACTTATTAGAGTAATTTTTATAGTACAAAAAAAATTTTTTTATTGATAAAAACACTTTGACTTTATATCATTTCATTCATGTTTAATCAAAGTAAAGATTTGTATACTATATTCATTATAAATTGATATGTTTAGGGCTAATCTTGAAAACTAGAAAACAGTCTTCGAATGTTTCATCTTCATTGAATATTCATCAGGGATCAAAACTAACATTAGATTCATTGAGTTGGTGTCTAATTGGCATAGTAGTTGCCTAGTTTTTTTTCTACGATTTTGTTTGTCAGTTAGTCAGTCAGTCAGTCAGTGAGTTACAATGTAGAACTTTGTACGTACATTAGTTCAAGTTGACGTACCACATTAGCACATAGACGCAAATGTCAAATCAAATCCCAAAGTGATAAAGATAGTAGAGGTATTAATGGTAATGAAGAAGACGACGGTTTGAAGATATTAGTCAAAAAGTACAATTCAGTGAGATAAGCTTAGAAAGACAAAAGTAGAGATGCTGACGAATCCTTGTAGAAGTTCAACCCCTGAAAAATCTGACGAGCCTAATGTTAACTCTAAGAGGATGTCTACGACAAAGTTAGAAGTATAATTCAGTGAGATAACTTTAGATAGGGAAAGATAGAGATGATGAAGAATTCAGAAGATTCGAAATTGATAGATTACGCCTGCGCCATTACAAACGATTTTGAGTCATGTCGTTCAAGGTCTCTAACCATGAGTGACTTTCATCTCGCAGACCTCAACCAGGTAGTCTACATCTACTAACATGACTCAGTCAATTTGTCAATGACTTCATGGATTTGTTTATTTGTAACCCAAAAATGAGATCAATTTAAAAAGGCGTTTTTATCAATCTGATAACAGATTGGTTTTATTCAGTAGTTTGATTAGTCAGTTAATTACGTTGTTCATAATAAAAACTACACCTGAAGCTTTTCCAGGTTTAGTGTTAGTCACATACACGGACAGACGAAGAACTCATCAACAGTGTGCATCGATGACTCCCGCCCACGAGAGTCGAACCTCGGACTTACGGTCTCAGATGGTATCCAACGATGTGAATGTTCCATACTAAGACGAAACAGCTATCCAGTACTTCAAGGTTTCTAACAGTGGTCTCTAACATTGTTCGATTCATGATTTTAACGAAACTCAATAATCTGTACAACCCTTTGATGAAAAATAAATAACTGTCAATCTTGCAGTTAGCAACTAAATCCTATAAAAAGTGGAACCTTATTAAAAAAAATACGAACCGAGATAATCATTTAAACCATGTCAATTCTATCATGAGAGTTAAAGAGTCACCATTCGAAATAGTTGTAAGGACTCATGGTGAAAGAAAACGTTCTTCGTGTTGGTAGTGTTTGGTTCTCTGAGCTGGACAGAAGTTTGTACTAATGATAATGTTGTTTCTTCACAGGAACAACAATGAAAGCTCCACAACCAAAACATCCAGCTCACAGAGAATCAAACACCACCACAATCATCATCCACCTAAGCAAAAAATTTTCTTCACCATCTTAGAAAACTTTCTTCAGAAATCAAAAGGTTTATGCTTATTTTGATTAGATGATTCATCTGAGACAAATAAAGAAGCCTTACAAATCTTCCATAATCGTCATAAGTTAGAGATTTCATTATTTCCATTGTAATCTCGTGTTTATTTGGTTCGGGATTCGAACTCAGGACTGTTGTCCCTGAGTGCAAATGCCTAACCTCTGTATCAATGATGTTAATGTCTAATTTTGATCAATCTAGGGATATTGTGCGATCTCACCCAGTTCAATGATTGATCTGAGACAAATAAAGTAGCCTTACAAATCTCTTATGATCGTCATAAGTTAGAAATTTCATAATTTCCACTGTAATCTCGTGTTTATTTAGTTCGGGATTCAAACCCAGGACTGTTGTCCCTACGTGCAAATGCCTAACCTTTGGATAAACGATGTTAATGTGTATCCTGATCAATCTAGGGATATTGTGCGATGATTCATCTGAGATAAATAAAGAAGCCTTACACATCTCTTATGATCGCCATAAGTTAGTTAGTTATCTTATAGTTTCTACTATAATCTCGTGTTTATTTCATTCGGTTATAGATTTATTGAATTACTCTAAAGTAATGACCAAAGTCATGAAAAAATTCAAAAACTTTAATCGATACTCTAATTCATCAGAAGAACAATTGTAAAAACTTCACAACCGAACCAATCAGCTCATAGAATGGGACTCCACTATAATTATCCATGTGAGCTATATAGATTTTCTCCGCCATCTCAATATTTTACTCATTTAGGAATATTACAATAGATGCTGTTTTAGAACAACTGACTGACTGACTGACATGAACATTTGACGGGATACATTTTCATATCAGTCAGTTGAATGTGGTCTATGTATAACCCAATATCCTTGTAAGATTTGTGCGCATTTGTGTTGGAGACGTCAGATCCCCCAAAACTCACTTGGAAAAGGTCCTAATTTTGGATTTTTGGTATTTTCGCGCATAAGTTGCTTAATTGACGTTCAGCTTATATTTGATTGGTTGATGGATTATTTTAGTACGTTATTTTTTATGGCTCTCCTAAGGACATTGTTATCATATTATAAATAAGCTCAATTTATGTCCATAGACATCTCATATTTTCTGAGTGATTGTAGAATACACTTTCTACGCCTTATTAAGATTTTATGATCTAGTTAACAGGACTTGGGACAAACGGACTAGCATAGCTCATCGTGTCACTGTATCACTTATCTTCATTCTCGTTTACCGAGTAAACGAGAACTCTTAATATTTTCAATTTGACATACATTGACAAGATTGTATCGGTCATTTTTCATATTCAATTATATTTCAATAACTCCACCTGGAACCTCTCTTCGACTACTGTCAATTCAAAGCCCAGATAAAGAAGGAAGGTTGGGCATGGGGTTAGTGACCTCATCCAGTAGAAAACTAACACTCGCTAAAAACACACTAACCAGAAAAAAAAATAATTCAAACCATTCAACCTCTAACCCTACCAGTTAGAAGGCCTTCATCTCAGGATAAAAAACCAAATTCCTTCCAAAACTCACACAGTCAATATCATCCCCCTTCTATTAACAACACCAAACCAAACCAAACCAAATCAAATTCATTCATTCATTCATTCAGTCACATTCATAATCATCTTCAATATAAAAGAAAAAAAATAATCAATAAATCACCTGAATAATCTCCATCATGTTTCAACTGTTGCATTGTCGAGGTGGTCATATGAATCAAAGCGTCTAATGCAGAATTTGACGGCAATGACACAACACTTGCATCGTTCACTTCATTATTCACAATATTACTATTATTGTTACTGTTAGTAGTAGTAGTAGTATTAGTAATAGTCTTATCATTGGTATCATTGATTATACTACTGTTATCATTATTAGTAGTAGTATCATTGATAAATAAATTTTCATTAATTTTTAAATTTTCCATTTGTTTACAATAATTTTTTATACAAAAAAAATTTGTTTTATAAAAATTATATAATTTCTCTTGTGTATTTAAACAACCATGAAGCATTGGATTAAAAAACCATGTGAATGGTTGATGATGATGATGATGATGATAAGATGGCGATTTATCATTTTGTTCAATTGTTTCAATATTTTTATTGTTTAAATCTACGGTTTTTTGTTCTTTACGTTTAATTTTATTTTTAAGATGAATATTATTATGATTATCATTATTTTTATTGTTATTATTGACAATTGAATGTTCTGTTTGTTTTAATTGACCTAATAATGTATGGCGGAAATATTGTTCATATGATTTTGTCCAAAATAATTTTAATTCATTTGAATGATTTAATTGTTCATTGTCGTTACACGGTTTACAATCCGGCTGTAATTCAGTAATATCTTTGTTATTATTATTATTATTTAAAGAAGTTTCTTGAAATAATCGCCAAAATTCATGTGATAATTGTTTTAATGAATCAATATTCAATTTAAATGTAGCGCTGTCGTTCAATGGTTCAATAGATTGATATTGACACAATTGTTTATTTAATTGTAATGAAAAATGTGATAATATTTCTTCATTATGTACATTATTAGTTGTTGTAGAGAATTTTTCTTTGATTTTATTAAAAAATTCATCACGTGATATTGATTCATTTGTGCATAGTGATGATAAGAAGGAATCTAATAACCATTGCCATATAGGATGAGTAGTATTTGTCATCATTAACATCATATCATTAATGTTATCTTCATGTTGAACAATGAATGATTCAATATCCCCGTTGTTTTGTTGTTGTTGTTTTTGTGCAGAATTAATCTGATTGGTAGATGATAGATTGGTGTTTGTTAAATGTTCAATTTGATCAATATTGTTATTTGATGAAAGAATATCTGTAATTAAAAATGATGATGATGTAGATGATGAGGAATTCAATTTGTCTGTTGTTGTTGTTGGTTGTGGTGGTGTCGTAGTCGTTATGGTTGATAGATTACAATTGAATTGAGATAGATTATGTGAAATATCTTTTGTTTGCATTTGTTAAGTTAGAATAATTCTATTAATAATTAAAACATTCGATATCTTTTTGTCTACTAAAATAAAATCTGCTCTCATGATGAAAATAGATGTATATATATGTATATTTTACCAATCTACTCAATTTCTATTTGATAATTTTATCAAATAAATAGAATACTACTTATTTACTGATTGATAATTGAGAGAGAGAAAAATTAAATAAATAAAACGGAATTATTCAATAGCTGTCCAATCAAATTTCATTTAATACACGGTGTGTTTTCTGATTGGTTAATTTGATTTGATTTGCATTCATTCATTCATTCATTCGTCTATTTGTCAATTTGAAGCAGGGAAATAAATAGTTTACAATGTAAACAGGAATTTATGTGAGGAGAAAACTCAAATTTTTAAACAAATTACGTAATACATTTATTTATTTAAATAAGTGTATAGTAGAGTCACTATCTACAAAGGATTTATTGCGTAATTAGTAAATTCAGTCGTGTAGGATTTTACTTATTGATTGGCCAATATAATTTTATTACGGAGTTGTGAAGATTGTTGAGTTACACATTTGAAATCATGATCGAATTGTGTGAGATGCAGGAGTCGTGGATTAGCACTGCCACTGATGAGTAGTCCTATAACAGGATGAAATGACCGTCTTTCAGTGCTTCTTCCAAGTTTCCAATGGTGATCTTACAATGATTGATTGATGATTTCAACAGTCGTCATTTACCATCTTAACCAGAAATTGAACACAGAATGGTCAAATGATATGGTGAGTACTTAAAACCCATAAAAACACTATGCTGATATCAGTTTATAGTGTAAAACTATTCAGAAAATAGCCGTTGAAACTTAGAAAAATTATCTACAAATCATATGTGAAATGAAACAGTGGTTCATTTGATGTTAAAGAGTAATAAAATTTAATTTGATCATAATTATATTTTAGAGATTGTTGAGTCTCATTGAGAAATCATGAATTGATCATTGTGAGATCACCATTAGAAACCTGGATGGTATTCATCAGCGATACACATCCACAACCTCAAAAATGTCAATCGAAACTAGGATCTTCGGTCACACGCTCAAACGCTTAACCTCTAGACTATTTAGCTTGGTATACAATGGTGTTAATGTTATTACGCAACCTTACACAATTGTCATCGCTAGGTAACCAACCACCTACACTCGACAGGAATGAACTCCACTGGTCACAACTTCTCATTGAAACTGAGAGAATTTTGATTCAGCATACTCAAAGTTCTGTTTAAATTTCCTTTATTTATAATATAAATCCTCGCAGTCAATATTCAAGACTGCAGTTGATTAATCTCTTGATATAAAGATCGCTAATGAGATCTAGATGAATACAGATAACAAGCCGTAAATAGGAAAAATGTTGTGTGCTGATTTCCGATTGCTATTCATTTATTAAATAGACTTCATTAAACAGTAATTAGAAATTTAATAATAAACTTGTTTAATTAGTGTATTTATTGAAACAAAATTAAAAAATTCAGAATAGAAGTTGAAAAGTTTAAACTACACTCTTATTGGAATTTATCATTAAGGTAAATTAGTGCTCCTTGTAATACTCTATCTGCATTACAGGGTTGTGAAGATTGTTAAGTTACACATTTTCGAATCTATAAATCGACCAATGTTAGGCCATCATTAGAAACATGGAAGAAGCACTGAAAGACTGCTGTTTCGTCCTGGTATGGAAATCATCAACAGTGCTTATCCACAACTCCTGCACCCTGCAGGATTCGGACCCAAGACACTCGGTATTGTGCGCGAACGCCTAACCATCGAACCACTGAGCCGGTATCTAGCGGTGTTAATGTCTAACTTCAATCGATTCACTGAGTTGTGCAACCTCATACACTGTCTTTGGTAGTAGTTACTGTCTACACCCGAACAGGTTGAACTTCACTGTTCACATGACTTCCCACTAGAACTTGGAGAAGATTCCTCACGGAGCTAGTCACTAGTGAGCACAGATAATTTGCATGACAGGATTGTGAAGATTATTAAGTTACAATACTCTATCTAAGTCGGGTTTAGATTTGCCTGTTGACTAACACTACTCATTTGATATCTTAACGTGGTCTATGTGATATCTAGTGAGTTGTAGTATCTAGACTAGACAAATATGATATTTATCTCTATTGGCTGGTTTGTTCGATGTAAGTTAATAAGAATATATTTGTATAATTGATGTAAATGATTTTTGAAGATGATCACTACATCAGATTGATATTAATAGATAGATGATAATGGTGAATTCAGGAAAGTAAACTTTTTCCCACTATGACATATTAAAAATATTAGAATAGAGATTATAAGCTCTGTTGAACTTTATTGAGATCATGAACCTACTTAACTTTGAACAATCATTGAGAACCTAAAAGCACTGGGTGGCAATCTTGTACCTAGTGTAGTAAACGAGAACACAGGTGAGGGCAACCGGATTGTATTTAACGAAAATTACAGAGTTACTCAGTAAACTAGGAAAACCATATCGTAAACGGTTAATTTGCAAAATATCAGTCCATCATATCGAACTGGACTGTTCCTGTTGTAAAACATCAATCCATTGTCACTATTCATGCGTTTCATACAAATTCCATTGTGTTCCCACTCTTCCTTTCTTGATCTTCCCCTCATCTTCTACTGCCAGACATTACGTTGACACTCACGTCATATACTACTTATAAGTAGTGCGCACCACAGTAGTATAGGATTTTTCAACAGAACATATTCACAATCTCACCATCCGGAATTGAATCTAAAACCCTGAGTCTTGCACATGAATACTTAACATTTAGATCTAATAATCCATTTTCAGAAGGTTCACGATATTTGTCAAATATTTTCTATCGTCTTCAACTAGTACCTGCTAATTTTCTGGAATATCTTAGGGGTGATTATTGTCTTACTTACTTACTTTACTTACTTTCTCCTGTTACCCCAAATGGAGCATAGGCCGCCCACCAGTTTTCTCCAACCAACTCTGTCCTGGGCTTCCCTCTCAAGTTCTGTCCAATGTTTGTTCATTCCTCTCATATCTTTCTCTATTTCACGGCGTAATGTATTCTTTGGCCTTCCTCTTTTCCTTTTGCCTTGAGGGTTCCATGTGAGGGCTTGTCTCGTGACGCAGTTGGGTGCTTTTCGTAGAGTGTGTCCTATCCACTTCCAACGCTTCTTCCTGATTTCCTCCTCCACTGGAATCTGATTTGTTCTCTCCCACAGTTCGTTGTTGCTGATGGTGTCTGGCCAACGAATACGAAGTATATTACGTAGACAGCTGTTAATAAACACTTGTATCCTCTGGATGATGGCTTTGGTAGTTCTCCATGTTTCCGCTCCATACAGTAGAACTGTCTTTACATTTGTATTGAAAATCCTTATTTTGGTGTTGATTGATATCTGTTTGGAGTTCCAGATATTTTTCAACTGTAGAAATGCAGCCCTTGCTTTGCCAATCCGTGCCCTCACATCTGCATCGGATCCACCTTGATTGTCGATGATGCTGCCCAGATATGTAAAGGTGTTAATGTCCTCCAAGGCATCTCCATCAAGAGTGATTTGGTTGGTGCATGTTGTGTTGCATCGGAGAATTTTGTTATTTCCTTTATGTATGTTGAGACCTACTGCTGCAGAGGCTGTTGCTACACTGGTCGTCTTCTCTTGCATTTGTTGTTGAGTGTGCGATAGAAGAGCCAGATCATCTGCGAAGTCCAGATCGTCCAGCTGCGTCCTAACTGTCCAGTTGATACCGTGCTTCCCTCCAGCTGTTGACGTTTTCATAATCCAGTCACTCAAATGATAATAATGATAGTTTACCGTGCACGTATCTGTACGAACTACAATATTTTTTTCTGTAAATCTTTAGAAAATGAAGATGATATGCGTGTTTGCTTATATTGTAGTCATTGAATTTCCAAACAATTTTTTAACTCCATAGTTTCATTGCAAAGCTGTAACAATGAGCGATTTATAATTTCAGCAAAACTCAGCACTATTCACAACTGCGTCATAAAAAATGTAGTAATAATGACAAGATTCATTAGGCGATTCTCAAAGTTCTCATGAAAAGTCCTGTTGGGGAGGTTAGATCCCTAGAACTCGCTTGAAAAATGACTTAATTTCGAATTTTATTCATGGGCTGATCAGTTGAACTTGGGACCACATTTCTCACCAGGAGAATCCTTGTCTTTGATTGGTTGCTGTGTATTTGAGTGTGCTATTTTTGTGATTTTCTAAAGCACGTTTCTATGATGTATAAATAAACACGATTAGTGTGCTTGATTGCATTGTGCTTGGTGGATGCTTGTAGAATATACTTTCTACGCTATACCAAGACCATTTAGTTAGTTCCTTTGGGTTAACGGATCAGAGTAGCCTACCCGGACACTGGTTCATTGTCTCGTACTCGTTTATCGACTAAGGTGAACCCGTAATAGTTTCAAGTATTTCAGGTGACGAGCATAACAAGTCCTTACCAGTGGAGTCCAACCATGTCGAATGTGTGGGGCAGGTAACTACCAAAGACAATGGATGAGGTTGTGCAATACCTTAGATTGATCAAAGTTAGACATTAACATTATTAGATACCGGCTTAGTGCTCCAGAGGTTAGGCGTTCGTGCGCAAGACCAAAGGTCCTGGGTTCGAGTCCTGTGAGGTGCAGAAGTTGTTGATGAGCACTGCTGAAGAGTTCCATACCAGGACGAAACGACCATCCAGTGTCTCCAAGTTTCCAATAGAGTGGTCTAACACAGTGATCTATTCACGATTTCAATGAAACTCAACCAACTTCATCATAGTTTAATGAAATAAGCTTTTCTTGTCATTTTTTGTATGGATATACATAGCATCATCTTCACTTCTAACCTAAATGAATATACATACATACATTTCCAATGAATTACATTGATTATTTACATTTTATTATTAATGATTATTTTCGGGCAAAGTTTTTGGAGGTTTGTGTTTTTTTACACATTTGAAATCATCAATCAATCAATCATTGTTAGATCACCATTAGAAA